TGGAGCCTTGAGGGCTTCTGTTATTTGCAAAGTCATATTAAATCTTACAGAGGTGATGGAGTAGTCAAGATGCAACCGATTTGACATAGTAATGCTCTGGGATACTTGTAAATCCCACTCATATAGTGTAAAATTCACATAATAATGGCAAATAAAACACCTCTATAATTATGATTTTACTTTATTTATTAATAAACATTTATGAAAGATTAATCACATTTGACATTTCTTTAACACCACAGTACCTTTAGCAATTACTTATGGTCGCTTTGTAGGTTGCATCTATCCTGTTAGTAAGAACAGGAGAGGAAGAAGGGTTATCCTTATCAAGCTAAAAGGGCAAAAATGATCTACACGGCCTAAGGTAATTAATGCTACTGATTTCAAAGGAAAAGCATGTGTTCTCAAATTAGAGGAGCACTTGCTAATCAATCTAACTAATTGATCATATAGCTGTGCCTGCAGACAATAGAGCAATTCTGCGGAACTATCACCAAGATATATCAGGTTGGCAGTCACAAACCTCTGAAACCATGCACTAAATACCACATTATACCCACTTTGAAGAAATCTATAATTTCTGTTGAAATAAATGCAACTTGTTAGTCAAAATGGTGGTACTGATTTTAAAAAAATCTCTTTAACTTTGTCCAAACCTTAATGTGCCAGAATGGCTGTTCTAAGAAAAAATGGTATGGTGTGTGTGTGTGTTTTAATGTGGTACTTCCAAACTCTCTTTATTCATACCAAAGTGCTGCACACTTCAAAATCATGGGCAAACATAAAATATAGGCAAAATCAAAAACCAACAAAATGCAACAACAATCACGCTGTTTTTGACCAGAAGTGGTCAGAGCTTGAGATATGTGTAAAAACTTTTCCTCAATTTCAGCCGTCATCCAGGCATCCAGCATCCATGAAATAGGTATGTTTACTGCTATTCCAGTGCAAACATCTGGAAGGGAAAGATTTGCTGGCTGAATGACATAGCCCAGGGGATACCTGAGTATACTCACAATGCTTTTCCATTCTCTGGGGAGACTCTTTCTATGTATACCATTACACAACCTCCTTTCTAAAGAGGTAAAGTTTGCTGCCAGTGCTATAAAAGAGTGGCTCATAGTATCCATTTATTTATTTATTTATTTACCAGGAGCCATAGATGCTTCCTTCCATGTGAAATGAAAAATTATTGGTCCTGGATCTGCAATCTATACCAAAATTGAGCATTTCGATCTATATTTGAAACGAGAAAAACCCAACTTTGCATCATTATCATTTGCACTGGCAGGTATAGGTAGGCATCACTTATTCCTGATGCAGCACATTAGGTATCTTTTCCATTCCAGATGCCAAGATAAAACTCAGATAACACTACCAAAAATGGTCCCTTAAGAAACTATAGCTCTTGCAACCCTCCTTTTCATACACACTGTAGCTGCTCACCCTCTCTAGCTTGGGAATATTGGTGGAAATTGCACTGGTACTTTTGCCATTAAAGATCATACCCAATAACAAACTATAGCCCACTGATGTGATGTAATAAACTCATAAAATTGGGTGGGCAAAAGCCATCAGGCCAACAGTGACACCTCAAGTTAAATACTGGTACAACACCACTCATCAACAATGTTGCATCAGAACTATCATTTAAGTCAGGAGTTAGGGAACTTCTTAACCTTTTACCCCCTAAAAAATTTATATACGCCAACATTACCCCTTTGATTTGAAAGGAAGGATCTTGGTCACACGTGGCCAATTGAGCGCCGCTGTCCGGGCCAGGGCCATCCACACCTGGGTCGCCACCACCTGCCGGGGCTGTGCTCAGTCCTTGTCCCCGCGGGGGCGGCTCCCCTTCTCCACCAGCGGATGGCTCCTGGGCGGCCGCCGAAGAGCAGCAGGTGGCTCACCCACCAAGGGCACCCTACACCGCATCCCGCTCCATCACTGGCTCTGGCGGCTGCACGCCAGGGCGGTCATGTCGGGCCTCAGCGTCAGGGCTCCCGCAGGCCTCACCGTCGAAGCAACAGCTGCTGCATGGAGGGCAAGAGGCTCCGCCAGGCCTGACTGGCCAGCACGGAGGCGCTGCCAAAGGCAGCCACATGGCCGGGCGAATGCTGCTCCTGCCCAATGGGCTTCTCTGGGAATGAGGACGGGATGTGGGGGAGGGCGGCAGCCTGGTGCCGGGAGGCTGAGCCTGGTCCAGGCTGCCATCATGGCTGTGCCCCCCCACCACGATCCTCAACTCCAGACTGGAAGTATGATTCAAATATTCCATGACTGCAAGAATACTCACAAGTAGAAGGAAAAGAAAAGGAGAGGCAAATTACTGTAGCACTGTGAAGACTAACAATATTATTTTGGTGTGAGCTTTTGTGGATCAATATCCATTTTTTCAGACACTGGAGTGTAAATGCAAGACTGGTATATTTATAGACACAGTGGTGCCCCGCATGACGACGATAATCCGTTTACCCCTTTTCCCTGATCACTGATTCAAGTGGATCATAATTCTGCTACAGTTTGTACTACTCCAGTCGCAAGGCAGACAACCGTACTCAACGTTCAGCAGTTACTGTATTACATATTATATTTTAAAGGTTTCAGAAACTGCCAAGAAAGAAGGCAGCAATTCCAGCAACCTGGCATATGCCCTAAAAATAATAAAGCCTGTCAAATAGAAAGTTATTCTGCCTGATACATTGTTTCAGATAGCACTCCTATTATACTTAGCCAAGGCTTCATGAATACAAAGATTATTGTTTGCAAATGAAAACAATCGTCAATAGTATGCATATTACTTACTCCAGAATAATTTCCATATCTCCCAGTTTACACTGATTTGAGTAATCTAAATGCTTGCTGTTCTAAAAGGCAGAACATTCCATTCCAAGATTATTGAATCGCATCACTTGTGCATTGCTTAGGAAACTACCAACAGTTATAGAGCAAGGAAAGGGCACAGCTGGTAAACCATACTGTTATACTGAAACTACCTTTCGGTTCTGAGTTTATCCTAGAGGAAAAACAGAATAACCAATGAAAATTTGAACATCCTTATCATGACAGATCTAAATATAGGTGAAAAGCTGATTGCAGACTCCTCCCTCTTTAACCAGATAGAACCTGAAACATACCTAATGCAGCATGTTAGGTATCTAGGCTACCCAAGAATTTAATACTAACACCATTTGAAGAACTTAATTCAACATCAGTAGAAACTGCACTTTTACAGATACCTATACATCCTAAATTACTTGAAACACAATTTTAAAAACGCAAGTATTTATTGTGTTGCTACAATGTAGAGAAAGCCTGAACCCAAGAACAAAGAGATTTTGACTGACCACAGAATTAATTTGGTTGTATGTTATTAATATACTGAAGACTATGTGGGAAATAAAAATAATGTCAGTGTTCCTCAGAATTTAAGCACTAACCCTGTACACTTACTTTGAAGCTATTTCCATAAGACATTTCTATGTAAATGTGTTCAAGATCAGAGAGCTACTTGTCCTTCTAAGAATGTTTACTAAAACCTCTTCTTGACGTGTCCTGAGTCAACATCCTCCTGAGAACTGCACGTTCCTGCCCGCTGACATTTCCAATATTGCTGAGGTAACCTTGATTTTAGCCACCAGTTATTTAGTTATCATTATTAGATTTACTGAAAAAATTTAAGCCATCCTTCATCCTTTTGGGCAACAAGCACAGTTAAAAAAATAAATATAATTAAACAATGAAAAACAACAATGTACAATCAAAACAAAAACAAAAAGCATCAGGCTTGTTCCTTCAGGCAACAGACAGTCTGCAACAGACTGCCAGCTATCCCTTTCCATTTAATTGTTATAAATAATGCAGTTACTAGTGAAGATGTTGGAACAAGATGTTCTACTTTTCAAAAGCTGTAACAGAAGGCAAATCTTATTTGTGAGGGCAGCCTTCCACAACATAGTGCATTCTTAAGGAGTTAAATTAAAACTACTGTACCATCTCCATCTCCAGCCAACATGATAAAGAATGAGTTGAGGTATAAAAGTTTTAAAGCAATCATAATAAATTAAGATGATGATTATCACACATGATCACATGAAACAAAATTCTTAGTTTTAGGATGATACACATTACAAGTTCTTATATGGAGGAACCATTTTTAAAAAAAAGACTTGATGCCCAGGTATCACAAAGACCATCACGACAAGGCATTCTATTATATAGCAGTTAGTCTCTAAGACAAGGTAGGCGACTTGAGGCCCTTCAGATACTGTCAGCTCTAATCAACAAGGAGCATGAGAACTGCTGTTCAGAAACACCTGGAATATCACAAGGTGGTATTCTGGCTCAGATACAGTATTCTCAAATTACACAATGTGGTGGCAAGAATCATCAACAGAAGATAAAACCTGCCACGGGAGGTGAAAGGAAAGCCAAGCAAACTGGGACAAAGGCTATTTCGTATAGGAAAAGGAATCAATGAAGGAATTTTGAAAAGAGGCCTTTTAAAGTCAGGTCGAGACACCTTCAGTGGAAGAGGGTAAAAGATCAGGAAAGAGAGACATTACTGCAGATTTACAGTGAAAGGAAGTACTTATGATCATGTCCTAGTTACAATTATATTTTATCTTTCCTCCAACGACCAGTGGGTCTCCCGGTGAGGCCAGCCTCTCAGAGGAGGAACCAGGAAATAAGGTGAGTTTGGTGGGAGACCGTCATCAGATGGGGTTAGAGAAAGTGACAGCAAAGGTTACCTAAGGGACACGACCGGTTTATGACGGTTGGGGGGGGTCAGGAAAGGGGGAGAAGCCGCCCCTGGTCAGGGTGAGGGGCTCAGAAAGGAGGTCAAGAGCGACTAGGGACAACGTCGGCCGGGAGGTGGAGCGGGGAACCTGTGCGAAAAGGAAGGAGGGCTGCGGGCGAAGGGAAGTCGCCTTTTCCCTGAAGCACAGGAGACGGAGAAGGGCATTTTTCTCTCTGCCGCCCCGTCACCGGCCACTCACAGCTTGAGGTTCTCGTAGGCTCCCGCTGAAGCCGCCATCGCTGCCCCCTTCTTCGCTCCTGCTCGCTGCTAAGTAACGCCCGGTTCCTACTTCGAGTCCAGGATTCTCTCCTCTATTCCGCCCTCCTCACCTGACCGCGCACGCTCCGGCCTCCAAGACGGAAGCGCACTTAGGACAAACTTAATCAGAAAGCATTTCTGGCTCTAGGACAAGGCCTCGCAAAAACAGGAGGAGCTGGGATTGGTGGAGCCGGTTGCGCTAAACGCACCGACGTCTATTCCGAGGAAGAGAAGCGCGGGGTGGGCGGGGATTAGAATTGTGGCATCACCTTCGAGCTGGGGGCCGCCTCGAACACTAACCGGCCCAGGATTGGCTGAGAATGTCATTGTAACGTCGCTTCGCTAAAGAGAGCTGGCACGGGGCCTGAGGTTCGACGAAGTGAAAGTGTGTGAGGCGAATTTGACTGGCTGCTCTTGTTCGGAATCCCCGCCCATAACTCAATTTTTTATAGATTGAAGGCATGCTAAGGCAAGCGTCCGGAAGTTAGAATACACATGTATAAGCAGTTTAGGCAGGGCGGGCCAGTGGCGCAATGGATAACGCGTCTGACTACGGATCAGAAGATTCTAGGTTCGACTCCTGGCTGGCTCGGCTACTGTTTTTTAAAATTCTCTTTTCCATTATTGAAAGGTCACATTTTTAGAAAATGTTTTACTGCGTGATTACACAGTTTTCCTGATTATAAGCAGCTACTTTGCTGCTTCCATTTTGTGAGAAAACAAATAAAAGGCTGTTACTGTTTATTAGGTCAGGTAAAAATGCACACTACATGTTGATAGCGTGATCACACTTATTAACAAACTCAACTCAGTGATAGAATCGAAAAATCGGACCCAATATCTATTTTTTCCAAATCCACAGAAATTATAGGAGAATTAGTTTCTCTTATCCTGCCCAAGGAATGTTATAGGCTGAGGTGGATTACTATATGATGTCTTCCTTCCAGGCAAGTCAAGATGGACAGTACCAAAACCAAACCTAATTATTTTGGCAGAGGAGGCAGAAAGCCTTTCTCGTCATCCCTGACAGAAAAAAAATACATAATGACAAAAATTCTATTATTTACACCCAATAACATAAACGACTAAAATGTCAATGGTGAATTGCTGCAAGTACACCTTCATTCGACAGCAATGTGCCAAATGGATGCATCTACAAGAATTAGAGGAATAACAATACATATACAGCATTTATTTATTTATTTATTTATTTACTTATTTACTTATTTATTTATTTATTTATTTATTTATTTATTTATTTATTTATTTATTTATTTATTCTACCACCCCATTAGTGCACAGCACTATACTGGGTGGTGTACCTATAAAACAGCAAAGTGACTCAATACAACAAAATAAAAGAACCAAGCACAAGAGAAATACAGTGGTGCCCCGCATAGCGAGGTTAATCCGTTCCGGATTAACCGTCACTATGGGGAAACATCGCTATACGGGACCGAAAACCCATAGAAACGCATTAAACTTACTTTAATGCATTTCTATGGCTCCTAAACTCACTGTTGTGCGAAGTTTCCCCATAGCGCCACCATTTTCGCGCCCTCGGTAAGCAAGGGCAGGGCGCGAAAATGCTGTGCGCGGCCATTTTGGGCGTCCGGTGGCCATTTTGGAACCGCCAATCAGCTGTTTTTAAAAATCGCTATGTGAAAATCGGTAAGCGAAACGCTTACCGATCGTCGCAAAGCGATTTTTCCCTATCTAAACATCGCAATGCGATCGCTGTTGCGATCGCAATTGCGACGTCGCTATGCTGATTCATCGTTAAACGGTGCGCTTGTTAAGCGAGGCACCACTTGTAAATAAATAAACCAATGTTAAAACCTAAAATCTAATTGTTCCATAAAACAGATCAGCTACATATAACTTCAAGGGAGACTGTCTTCGAAAGCCTCTAGAAAGAGATGTGCTTTCAGCAGCCACTTAAAGCTGGGCAAGGGATAGAGCCAAGCATAACCCCACCCAGAGGTAATTTCAGAGAGATGGTGCAACTGCTGAGAAAGCCCATCCTCTTGTTACAGATTTTCTGGGCTCTTTTGGAGTAAACACCTGGAGGAGCATAGCCTGGGAGGATCTGGTGGTGTGGGTCGATAACCTTGAGGAAAGACACTCTGACAGATGTGATTCCAAACCGTGGAGAGTTTTATAAGTAAGTGTCAAAACCTTGAACTCAATGTGGGATGCAACCAGTACCAGGGCAGGCGAGCCAGGACCGTGGAGATATGGTCAAATCTGCTCGCACCTGCCACTAGCCTGGCAACTGCATTCTGGACCCGCTATAATCTCCCGATCAACCTCAAGATAAGCCTCTCGTATACAGTATAGTGTTCCAGTAGTTGATCCTGGAGATCATGGGAGAGCTGGGAGATAAGCCTCAGAGGATTGAAGGCTCACCTGGACATAGCTGGTACAATATTTCTAGGGTGAAGGTTTCTTATATTGTAAGGAAGCTAATGAGCCCAAAGTTACTTGAGGGATGAAAAAGACACTGAGTGCTGATGCAAAAAGAACTCTAAATCAGCAGCAGATCCCGGAAACTCCTGAAACTTTTCTAGCAGCCGTTATCTTGCAGCTGAATGCCAACTCCATGATGCTATTGTGTTGTGTTCTCATTTTTGGAATTATGCTCCTCATATTCCTTATAAGTTGTTGCTGTTTTATTCAATGTATACCAACCTTCTTTTCCATAACTACCTGTTTCAAAGCTTCACACTCAGGCCTTCACTGAAAAGATTTATATGTAGTTCACAAATATATGAAAGAATATATGCCTTTGCTTAATAAACAAGAAAAAGGGGGAAAGTAGGAAACTTCTGCTTAAAGGTTGTACAGTGGTGCTTCGCATTGCGACGTTAATTCGTTCCAGCGAAATCACTGTTGAATGAAAACATCGCAGTGCAAAATAAAAAAGCCCATAGAAACGCATTAAAACGCAATTAATGTGTTCCTATGGGCTTAAAACTCACCGTTCAGCGAAGATCCTCCATAGCACGGCCATTTCTGGTGCCTCTTAAGCGAGGAATCCGTCCCAGAAAACAGCGGGCGGCCATGTTTTTTCCCGGCGGCCATTTTGAAACCGCCAATCAGCTGTGTGAAAATGGTCGCTTTGCGATGATCAGTCATCGCATAGCGAAAATACCCCATAGGGAACATCGCAAAGAGATCGCAAAAGCGATCGCAAAATCTTTGTCGCAAAGCGATTTCATCGCTAAACGGAGCGCTCGCTAAGCGAGGCACCACTGTAGCTGCATTCTATTCCAGTGATGTGCATACACTCCTGGCAGGAAACGGCAGCTGCCAGCAGATGGGGTAACCCCTTATTCTGTCCTTTCGCTTAGAGCAGGGGTGTCAAACTCAAATTCATCGGGGGCCGCATCAGCAGTTTGGTCCCCATCAAAGGGCCGGTTGTATCTGTACTGATGGCCTTGCAAGGACCCCATCCAGCTTGGTGGGAAAAGGAAGGAAGAGAAAGTGTGTGTGTGTGTGTGTGTGTGTGTGTGTGTGTGTGTGTGAAGGAAGAGAAAGTGGCTGTGTGTGTGTGTGTGTGAGAAAGAGAGATACAGGAAGAGAATGTGTGTGTGTGTGTGTGTGTGTGTGTGTGTGTGTGTGTG